ATTACTATCTTTGATTTATGAAGAAGTAGAAGATAATTGAAATTGTAGAGTTTAAACTTGATATTGAAGTCCAAATAGTAGCAAAACTCTGAGATAAAGAATATGGAGACAATGAATTGAGTTATAGAGAAGTTTACTTCATGAATGACTTTGACTAATATGTAGATGAAGATAATATAGACGATGTATTGAATAAAGCAAATGAATAAATAAATACAAACATAGAAGAAGACCAAGATAACGATAGTATAATAGGAATACACGCATGTCATTTTAAACTAACAATTATTGAATATATTTACTACCAACATATTTCAAACAACATCTATTTATTAGAATTATGGATTTGTAAGGTCGGATTGTTAAAGGTTCAGGATTTATCTTTATTGTTGCCTGCCGTTTTGTCTTATATATTGTTCTTTGCTTGGTTTGTTTTTTTGTTGTTATAGGAATTCTTGGAAAAGACATTTAAGAAAATATACATATTTATATGTAATGGATAAATTTTGTAGATACTGTGTTAAAGATTTACCAATTGATAATTTTGAAGATAGATTGAAGACTTGTAAGAAATGCTTGGAATACAAGAGAAATAACTATGACAAACATAAAGATAATGTGAATGAAACACGAAGAACTAAATATAAAGAACATGAAGACCATAGAAAACAGAAACAGGAACAAATACAAAACTATCGTGATAAAGTTGCCTTTTGTAATGCATGCAATTCATCAATGAAGGCACAATGGTATTCAAGACATTTAAAAACAGAGAAGCATAGAAGGAAAACGGTTGATGGATAGGATTTTGTAAAATGAATAAGGTAATAATGCTTTTGACTGCTATGATATTGACACATTGAATGAGGTAGTTGTGTTTTGATATTGTTGCGAAAAAATGAAGCAGCACATCAGCAGCACCTCCGGTCCAACCGAGCACCATCGACCGATGCCTGGTGAAAGGACTCCAACTTCTCTTCGCAATGGGCCTTGAAGGCGCCGAAGTCCTCCACCTTCTCCGCTTGCTCCCGATACCTTCCATAGCGCTTATTGCTTTCCTTCTCTCCGGAAAAACAGCTGCCCAGGCCAGAGATGGAAGAGGACGGTTTTCTCCGGAAGAGCTACGCTGGGTGGATTTTGTTGTGAGGGTGGATAAGTGTAGGTTCTGTACACTATTGTTGTTGCCCCATGTGAAGCTGATGGTTTTGATTTTGGATGATTGATGATTGTAGATGACATTTGCCCGCGGTATCTGATCGAACCTCATCTCTCACTTCCCTGTGTCGGATTCAGCTCCTCTTCCGGTCCATCGGTTGGGCGCCGGGGCAGTGACCCATCTGTGTTGCGGGCCGCCGGGGGTTTTCGCTTTCTACGATGTCACAAGTCCCAAGTCCAACGACTGCCACCAGCCATTCAACGCTGGAAATAACTCTTTGGAGCCGAGGGTCCTATCGATGAGTTTCTGGATGTCAGACACTCTCTCTGGATTGTGCTGCCGGTAAATGTCCTCCAGCACGTGGTGGTAATGCTGCAGCAAGGCAGCCAAGTCCTCAGCAAAACCGCCAGTTCTGTTTGCAACATCAACGCTAGGTAACTCATCACATCAACCTCTGCAACCACACGTGACAATGGCTACATTTTCTGGTCGAATAGTTTCTACTTCCTGGATTGGACGCCTAGGTTGCATGGGTCATTGGCCATCTCCAATACCCCCCAAAATGCCTGGAATGCAATCTTGTCTTGGATGCACTTAGTGCACCGTGAAAACTTAACTTCAATTGCCAAAGTGCACCTGGGTCATTGCAAAGCTTACCTCACGCCATCTCAGACCTAAAATTAGCACGGTTGCATCTGTCAGCACTCAGCCAGTCAAGGCACTCGAACAAATCTCAACTCAAGAATTGGGAATGGGTCCAAACCTGGAGCCCTGGTCCACTATGTAACCATGTAGCGAACGACCTTCCAGGTTTTGACCCACAGCCTGACCCACACCATGTATCATGTACCTTGACCTTCCACCGCTTTGAGTGACAGCACTGCGCTTGGAGACCCTTGCAGCCCAGGTGCGGTCTGAAGCTTGTCGTCAGGGCTATCAGGCTCAGGCTCCTGCGATCCAAAGCATTCAAAGGAACTTCCAATAAGAAGACGAGAGAACACACACCGTGAAAAAGCAAAGCCTTATGTGCCCAATTCGCCAGGTTAGATGTCTTGCCAGGATCTTTCTACAAACGCCTCCAACATGGTTCATGACAGCCGGTCTATGACGCGTTTTGCGCGGCGCGTCGTGACAGCGCAACGTTGCGGGTGGTGCAGTCCGTGGTGAGCGCATGGCTGGCTTCAGCCAAGAGAGCTTGGCCGAAGTTCATGAGAGATCCCCAGCCCTTGGTCAACAGCAGAATCCAAGTCAATGAGACTTGCCCAGTGCTAACTTGCCCAGGGAGGGAGTGCGCCATGGTTCTGGCGGTGCTTGCACGTATGGTGACGACATGAAGGGAGCAAGCCAGGGAAATTCACCAACGTCGCGCGGCGCGACAAACCATCCTGGATCAGTAGAGTCACTCTAAGATGGTTGTGGGTTAAGGGCCAAGCAGCCAAACAGCTTCGAAAAATGAGCAAACCCAGGAATGGAATGATGGTAACCATGTATGAAGTGAGTCCATCAGTCACAATCCATCCGTGATGGATGCAACATGATGGCGCCATCAGTCGTTCGGCGCTTTGACCACGACTATTGTGGCCAAGACAGCATTCCCAAGCAACTGTTCTTGATAAATGGAACAGCCGCCGAAAACAGCAATCCCTACATTTTCTCTAATATAAATTTATATATAATATCAATAGAAACAGTAAGCTACTAGGAACAAGTACCTCACTTCTAGTAACAAGTGCCTTACTAGTAACAAGAAGCTAGTAGAAACAAGTGCCACGCTAGTAGTAACAAGTGCCTTACTACTAGTAACAAGAAGCTATTACGCATTAGGACGGGTCTTGTGGACCTCAAAGGCGCATTCTCGTCGAGCCACGGATGGCTTGGAAGTGGCGCTCTTCTCAGCATCCTTGGGCTTTGTCACATCCTCGGCCTGAGCCGCTGACATGCGGAAAGTGAGCACCACTGAGGACCACAGTGGACGCCAAAACGGTAAGACATGATACCAGCTTGTGACTCCTTTGCCAATTTATTGAAACATACCAAATTCATACTTGAGACAAACATGTCCTGAACTGGATCACCTTTCCATGCCCCCAAAAGGGCATGACATCATCTAAGACCTAAGTCTTCATCCTTCCCACCTGCACAACCATGCCACTTGATCCCCTGCGCTCAAATCCACGCCTCCGGCGTCTCATCCTTCAACTCTGATGGCGGATCATCCGCCTTCAGTCGACGTGATCGAGTCGACTCTTTGAGCTCTCAGTTGAAGAAGGGGGTCCCAAAAAGCTACTAGTAGCAAGGGCAACGCTACTAGTAGCAAGTGCATTAGCTAGGGCATTACTACTAGTAGCAAGAAGCTACTGGTAAATAACCTCCAAAAGGAATGCCCCCCTCTCCACCCTAGTTGACTGTCATCAAAACCCCCCAAGAGTCACGGTGCCTCGGCGAAGTCGATCTCCTGGCAGCCAGATGAGCCACGTTCTACGGAACGAGGGGATTTCAAGAGACAAAAGACATCAAGAGACCCCTAGGCCTAGGAGCGGCATCGCTACGAACGGGGCCTCCTGACCTTACTACGAACGGAGCGATCAGACGCTACGAACGGAGTTGGATGAAAGTACACTAGGAGTTGTGGGAGAGAAGGTGCGAGACACTTTGTCACTACCTCCGGGCACAGGCAGCTCCAAGAAATCGCCGCGCCTCAAAGTCACCCCAGCCATCTGTCTCATCTTCCATGGCTGAAAGGGCAAGCTCTGCATTGGAAGTCGGCCCTCTACGACGGCACCAAACGGGCTTCTAGAAAAAGATTGGCATCCAGCTCCCAACACTTGCTCCAAGGATTGGTGAGGAAGGGGTGGCAAACCTGCCCTGCATGGTCGGATGGACTCCCAACACAAACACATGTCGACGAACCGTGACAAACACGAAGAGGCAAACGGTCGGAGAGGTTTGGGAAGACAGGTCTTGCAACAACACATCGCTCGCTGTCAGGTTGGAGCACCGGTCGGAAACGACCGAGGAGTTAGGCCTCTGCGGCAAAGACTTCACTTGTTTCACCCAGTTTCACCTTCTCCCAGCTGGGGAGGTAGTCCGGTGTCACCAAGGTAGTCATCCTACTTCATGCGGTCGGTGTGGCCTTCACCTTGTCGTGATTTTCTTCTCAGGACTGGAGTTAGGTCGGATGTCTGATCCATGTGGAGTCTGTGATGGGCAGATTCCTGTGAGGTATGCCAGGATCGCCGATCAGCTTGAACCAAGGGACGAGTTCAACCGGGAACGCCATCCAACCAGTCAACAACACCAATGACATGGATGGCAAGTCACACGCTTGATTTGCCATGACTCCAAATGCAGTAAGCACCAAAATAATTTCATGCCAAACCCATGGCAACATGCAGTTGGAACTCAGCAATGCAAAACAAATCCATCCAACTCCATTCTCTTTGGAGGGTTCTTCTTTCGCACTCTAGGCCCTAGGCATCCCTAGGCTCTCTGGCTTTCCTCACTTCCTCATCCCTACCCCACAGAGAAGAACGCTGGAATCGGCCCAGCTTGCTCTGTGAAACAATGCGAACATTCAACAGTGGTTGACCTCCATCAGACCTATCCGGCTCGAAGCATGTCGCTCGAACCTCGGCAAACGTGACGAACCTCGGCAATTCACCGAGTTGACCGTTGACTCCAGTTGACTCTTTGCCTTGTCCTGCCTTAGCACGTTTGCTCCAACTGGTTTCCCAAATCCGTATAGGTCTCGGGTCGCCTCAGCCCTGCACCGTGTCCCGTTTCCCTTCGGCTCCGCGGCGACACAACGAGCCACAACGACGTGACGGTGACTGAGCTGCTGCACTGGTCTTCGCCTCCCGGAAAGCCTCAGAGAAAGGGAGCGGAGAGCGAACGCCGCGGCAGCTGCCTTTTTCACCTAGAAAGTTGCCATAATCTTGATGTATCTGAATGTCCTTAGTTGGACCCTTCAAGGCTCTTGCTGACAAGTCATCGTCCTTTAAAGATCCCTAGATCCTAATGATCCTAATATCAAACAATTGGCCTCATCCTGATTGACTCGCTGACGTACCAAGTCCTGTCTGCCCACCGGTGGACGTCACTCCTAAAAGAAAACGAAAAGCAAACCCGATCATCTACCTCAAGGATGTCTCAAACAAGGGAGCTTTACCCAAACTGATCCCAACTGAAGTTTCGCCACCCACCCCAGTGCCTGCATCGCAAAGCTGCGAGAGGCCTGATCTGAGAAGAGGATCGAGGAAGCGCAGAGGAACCGTCATCGGCACGCACGAAGCAAACACACCGCTTAGAGGCGAATTCGCAGAAAAAGGTGCGCGAAGCAAACACAAGAAGCTAGTAGGAACAAGTGCCACGCTAGTAGGAACAAGTGCCTTACTAGTAGTAACAAGAAGCTAGTAGGAACAAGTGC